AAATAAACACTGACGGTAGAAGACGGAAGAAGCTTCCGAGGGAAGTCGAAAGAACTTTCCGGTAGGAATCGTAAAATAATTTACGGGGTAAGGTAGAAGGAAATTCCAGGGAAAGTACGATGATACTTCCAAGGGTAGATTAAATACATTTCAGGAAGATAAAAAATAAAATTTTGATGGACTTATTTGTTCCCTGAATAAAAGTAATTCCCGAATCCCAGGAATTACCAGGTTGAGCCATCAGCTGTTTCTCGGCTCCTGAGTAAACATGGCAGACATAAGACATTTTTACAGGTCAAAGCCTCAAGAAATTTGAGTTATTCAAAATGGTAAAAGTCTGTCACAATAGTTATTCTGAGAAACGTTATCAGTACATCGTTATCAAGTTTAAAAATTGGTATATCTGGCAAAGCTGATTGTGAAGAATCAATTGGTGAAAGAAATTCAAAAAAGCAATAAGACGTCTGTTGACATATTAACGTGCAAACTTTCAATTTGACCTTCAATTTAAGCCCGGGACCCAATGTAGCTCTGTGTATAAAATGACAATATATTCCCTTGCTTATTGTTTCATTAAGGACATGGTGATTCAAATACCTATCTAGATAGTGCACTGAAATGAAATCTGCTCTCTATTTACCGGAACGAATAATCTCTCGCTCGCATTTATCCGATTGCAGTTCAGTGAACTGCGTTCTCAAAAAAAAAAAAAAAAAAAAACTGAAAACGTAACAACACCGTACCTAGGATCTGTGAAGCGAGAGCTTATGTGCCGTATCATAGTAGGCCTTCGGTTTAACTAAAAATCCGTAACCCATCAGAGATAGAGAGATATCAAGTAAAAACGAATTCCAATGTGCACCATACCTTTAGCCGCTTTTCGAACATCGGACTGCATACAAGTGATGAACAAATTCAAAGCCCAAATTTGGTTGATTGGGATCAAAAAGTCGTGTGGAGTGGGCCTGAAGGATGGGTCCGCCTGGGTCAGCATCATGAAATATAATTTTTCGACGGGAAAACGAATTTCGACCTGATGGGGATGGAATTCACAGCGGCAATGCCAAAGTCGTTTCAACAGTATAAAACTGATAATACAGGATTTTGCTATTCCGGCTTACCTGGATCTGGATGATATGAGTTATGTTTGAACCGATACCGATGCATTTCATGTTGTTATAGGAACCATCAGGCTGCAGCTGCTAAAATTCTCACGACGACGACGATGAGGGTCGGTTTGCTTTGATCAAAGTTTATTGGGAAAACTGTTCATCGGTCCCTCGTGCCGTCGATCAGAATCGGTTTCCGATGTAACTCTTTCAAAGGTGCTTCAAAGGTGTATAGGTTAAAGTACAATTTCGGACATTGAAGAGGTTTGATTGGATAATTGAAAGAGTTGCCGTTTGATGTCGTATTATGCCGTAGAGGTTCTTGTAATGATAGCTTTTATGAGAAATCAAATTGATGACGAAAGTCAATCTAACTCCACATTATCTATCGAAGTGATCAACAAATGACCGAAACAAAGTCAGTGTTCCGATTACATACTTTATTTCCATTAACGCATAGAAATCGATTTTCTCCATTGTACCCATTCCTTCCTGAACTGGCGAAATTCTAGGAGAAAAACCCGCAGTTCCGAGAGAGACGGTGACAGAAGAACGAAAATCCAATAAATTTTCTCTGCCAGCTCCGCATCCGTCGTGGCCATGAATTCAGAGCACCACCACTCCAACGCGGACAGGATGCCATTTTCGCATCGCCACAAAAATCCGCGACCGAGGGCCAGGGGGAGGAAAATTTGCATATAAATATGTTTTCTTCGGAGGTGCTCCCGAACGAAGAATCTGCAGGCGCGCTCGGTCCGGATTTTCTCAATAAAATTTATTGGAAATTTGTGAACTCCAGTAGAAGCCCTGCAGAGGAAGAGGTGGCACTCTTGTTACTGCAAGATATTAAATTCAAAATCACTGCTCGCGGGCGGCAGCTGTTCTATCTCGGCGTTCGTCTTTGTAAATCTCTACCGTATGGAGCCAAGCGGACATTTTTTTTTCATCTATGAAAATGACGTTTTGTTGACTTTTTGTGTGGAATAAACAGCAGCACAGCAAGTCATGACGGTCGGTGTTCTGCTGTTTATGGCTGATGCTAGGGTTCAGGGTTGCTGGGATCGTTAAATTGTTGCTCTGTAGTGTGAATCGTATTGCAATCAAGATTTCCGATTTTTAAGGCAATTTGAATATTTTATCCCGGCAACGTCTGTACTGGACAGGACGGCACAACGTGACTGATGTTTCCTTGGAGACTAGCTGGATTTATTGGCATCCCTTATGTGAGGGTTTCAGGATGACAAGTTTTGCAACTGAGCTGTTAGTCAGTAATTTACAGCCTATGGTAGTTAACTGAAAAGAGAAGCATGAAATTCCGCACTTTCACGAGCCATTCAGACTGCTTCTGGTACTCATTTTTCACAATTACAACATTTCAATGGTTGCCACAAAACAGCCCCCCACGTTGACGGCAAAGCTCAGGTCGATAAACTCTCCATTTTGTATCAATTCAAATCAACAGTATCACCGATTTCTGCAATTATTTCCGCCAACATTGTTTGCAATTCACGAAGCTGAAAATAATTATTAATTAAAATACGGTAAAAAATTAATCTATCCTAGTTGGGTGCACCATAATCCACTCATTTTATGCTCCTACAGGTCCAGGTATTTGTATTCGGTTTTTCATCCGGTGGATTGCGACAGCGGTGATGTCGATCACAATCAACTAGAAAGCAATTTATGATAGCTATGGCCTGCCTGACAGCTGAAAGCAAATATAAATTGAATGTGATCCGCAACAAATTTTCAATTTTATCTCTACTGGGATGCTTTAATTGATTGATACTGAAAATTTCACAGCTATTCAGGTTCATTTCGCCGGAATCAAAGAAGGCCACGTCCACGTAAACAAATGCTTATTCAACGGCTACTGCGATGGATGGTCCGGGGTCTGTTTTGCTGTCATGCGGAAAATGGCGATAAATAAGGTGCAAACTGTGCCGCTGCTGAACAGAAACAAACAAAAAATTCGACCGTCGTCGACCTTTCGGGGGGGATTCCGGTTCGAGGAATATTACTTCCCATCTGTCTTCTGCTGGAGGAAGGCCTGAGGCTTATCACGGGTGCGATTTTTTCCCGGAGTTGCGTGTTTTTTATTCGCTTTATTTCGCATTGATATCAACGGGAAGCATATGTAAATGGGTGAGTCATATTTCACTTTTTTTTTTCCTTTCGATCGCGATTTTTCTGAACTTTGAGTGATAACAGAAATGTGGTAAACGGCTCTTGCTATGACATATTGTTCCTATCTGACCCAATTTCCTTCTGAGCTGTGATGAGTTGATTTTTTGTTTGTTAATTTTACTACCACGTCGTCATATTTAAAAGATCAGTAAAAATTGCTAGTAGAAAACAGGATTGAAGATTCGTGGAAAATGTATACTTTTAATCAAATCTGGGATTGATTTCGAAATTCAATCAGCTATCAAAGGTTTCGGATGGTTTTCAATCCTGGAGTTTCATTGACGCACGGAAAAGCTGAATGCAGGCGGAAATCCAAACCGGTTTCGCATTTCTACCTAATCGGGAAAATTGTTCAATTGAATGGATTCAGTCGATTTCGGAAAATTTTCTTTTCGGAATTCTTATTTGAGGAAAACAAGTAGGCGGTGTGTTTTTCGATACATATGTTGCTTGGATGAGTTGTATGGTTTTGTTATTTGCAATGCTTCTGTGGAAATCTTGGATGTTGTTCACGCAGCTCTCTTACTCCAAACGTCACAGTCCTTTGCAGGTCTATCAGAATGAAAACGATTCCATCATGATATCACTTAAGCTTCCCCTACATACATATATTTGCCTTCATCTTTCCGACATTGACACAAGATTCAACGTCAGAGTAAAAGAGAATAGACATCTTCCTACCAACTGATGTTGATAATAATAGCAACCAGCATCAAGTGCAGCCACACTTTGACATGACAGAGCCCAGCAGAATAAACCACATCAGATAGGTAGTAGGCCGATAAAAGAATGTCCGTTTCCCATCCATGCTAAACAAATAGCAACGAATGTGATTGTGTTTATTCTCAATATCCTGTTCGTCGACGTGATTGTTAGCAGTACAGTTCCCCATCGCTAAAACGACAACATTGTAATCGAACGGAAATTTGTTGCCTAATACCGGCCTAGACCAAATTTCTAAACTATTGAAGACATTAAAGTTAATGAAAATTACATATAGGTCATTCCAGCTCAAGTGGGTACATCACCTGTGGTCGATGTCACCGATTGGAGCCAAACTTGGCCAAAACGCTTATTTTGGCATTGTGAACAAACACCTAGTTTGATTTTGCTCTAAAGTGCCTAGATCCTTCTGGGCTACAACCCTTGATTTTCGAAATTTTTAAAAATTTCAACTTTCAGAAGAGATTACTGCAAAACCTCATAAGCTATTCATGATCTTAGAACGTCATTTATTAATTACGTTAGTAGTAGTATCCGTTCCGCCATCCTGCCACCCGCTAACCTGCTGCAATCATAGGTGTTCTATTAATAAAATACAAGGCATTATCCTAGCCTTGAAAAGGTTAGTAGTATTCCAACCATCCCAATCCTTTTGTTCGGTTCTACCGGGTCCTTTTTGTGTGTCTTCCATGGACGACCAACGGATGTTACAACTAACGAACCGTCGCACCGCCTTAACAGCATCACTGTGGAGAGCCGACCAGTTCGTTTCAAAGTACCTGGCCGATCGAGACCAAGCTCAGGTGCAGCTACGAATCGAGAACCTAAATGACGTGTGGACGGAACTGGAGGATGTTCAGTCGAAAATTGAAGAAGAAGAGACCACCAATGAAGGTGCCAAACCCGTTACAAATTCGAATCCCTATACTTCAAAGTAATGGCTGCTCTGCGATCCTACTTACCCGCCAATTCTATACCGACTCAAAGCGCAATCAACGCTGGACGTCCACGACGAGCGGTGAAGCGTTTCAGTGCTGCTAGAAATACTTTCGTGGTGAGATCAGCGACAAGTTCAATGTGTACTGCCTTGGTGACGAGGCACACGAATACAGAAATATAGCACTTCACGGGAGGACTACGACGTTGTGGATAGGTGACCAAGAACGAGCCGCAGTAATCCACACCCACCTTCATGAATGGTGGTGCTGGAGTTACTCTTTCCGGTGGAAGCTCGGCCATCAACTGTTGTTGACATCGGGGATTGTTTCGAAAGCAGGTGATGCATTCGTGCAGGATTCGTCGTGCAATGTTGCGGATGTTCGTGATCCAAAACCTTTCTCGTATGCTTGCGATCAGAACTTGTTGCCCGGAGTGAAGCATCTTCAAGTGGTAATGCCGAATTACCAGTGTAGCGAGAGGATGGCGACTCTCCGAAACCGGCGCATTCTGCAGCCGACCGCCAATGCGAACGATGCCCTCATGGAGCTGAGGATTCAACGATGATATCCTGGTCGAATCTTGAACCTGCACCTCCCGGGACAAACTTGCTATCTCCTGCGGGAAGCATTCCTTTTGCGACAGTCGAACCAAGTCCTTGAGTGCATCTTCATACTCCTGCGTTCCGATGTACCCGAACTTCCTGGAAGTTCGGTTAGCTCTCTGGGCATTGTGGCGAAATCGGCGAATCCAGACCACCAGACGAACTAGGCTTAAGAGCGACGAGTGGAGCGAGAAGATGTCGCTCGGTGGAGAAGCTTGTAGCGGCATGGCAACGGTGCTACGTTCTTCAAGAACTGCTGGATCAAGCTGATCTCGGGCCAGTAACTTCTACTTTGGTGTAGCCAGATGGGACCTCTGAACCAACTGTTCTGGTATTCAAGCTGTGTAGCTGATATACCTATTAAGAGAACGTCGGCTGGGTTTTGTATTGCTGCTACGAGGTTCCACACTCCTCCTTCTGTAAGATGTTGGATCTCGGACACCCTATTTGCAACAAAAGTCTGCCATCGCGATGGAGTGGAAGCAATCCAAAATTTGACAATGTTGGAGTCCATCCAGAAATACGAGGGAACTGCCAGTTGAGTGCTACGACGTACCTTTTCATATAGATGGGTGAGTAACAGAGCGGACGAGAGTTGCGTTTCTTCTTTTTCAAGTCCTCCAGCGGCGCTACTCTTGACTTCGATATCATTAGCTGGACTCGAACCGATCCATCAGCGTACGTGCATCGAAGATACAAGCAAACACCTTAAGCGCTATCAGAGGCGTTGCAGAACCCATGCCATTCAATAGCTGTGCATTGCTTGCAATACCCAACCCATCTGGGAATGGTAATGGATTCTAGGGCACTGAGATTCCTGCGATACTCCAGCCAAAAGGTTTGCAAGTTTTCAGCGAGCGGCTCGTCCCAACTCACTTGCAGTTTCCATAATGTTTGGATGAAGATTTTGGCTTCCACAACGACATGTCCTATAAGCCCTAAAGGATAGAATAATTTGGACGCATCGGAGACGACGGTTCTTTTTGTAACGGTTGGGTTGGGATTCCATTTGGGAACGGTGAAGCAGAAGTTATCGGTTGTCGGACTCCAGAAAAGACCCAAAGTTTTGACGGTAGCGGACGATGCCGGCGAATCCATGTCAAATACCGCCCGTTCATCTCGTAGATGTGCTGGAAGCTCGCTCAGAACTTCTTCGCTATTCGAATTTCACTTGCGCAAAGTGAATCCAACTGAATTGGTCAGATTGACCATTTCTTCGACTAACCTTCTTCCTTCCTCAGGATCATCTACCCCAGTGATCATATCGTCAACGTAGACATCTTTCCGCAGGATGTTCAAAGCGATCGGGTGTGTTGATTCTCCATCTTCTGCTAACTGTGCCAAGTAACGAGTCGCGAAAAAAGGAGCCGATGCTGTACCGTACGTAACGGTCGTCAGTTGGAAAATCTCGATCGGATCATCCGGGGATTTCCTCCACAGAATCAGGTGCAACTTCTGATCGAGCAGGAACATCTTAATCATCCGGTACATTTTAGCTACGTCTGCTACCATTCCGATGCGATGTAAACGGAACCGTGTATGAATAGAGATAAGATCATCCTGGACTACAGGCCCAACCATTAACCCATCGTTGAGCGAGAATCCCGATGTAGTTTTGCACGAAGCATCGAATACAAAGCGCCGTTTCGTTGTTGTGCTATCCGGTTTCAACACGGCATGGTGCGGCAGGAAAAAGCACGCTGACTCGGATAGATCTTCTTCTCATACCTTCTTCATGTGGCCCATCGACAAATACTCCTCCATGAACTCGCAATACAGCTCCTTCAACTGCGGATTGGTAACGAATCGCTTCTCCAAGCTTGCAAATCGTTTCTCAGCGCTACGCCTTGAATCTCCCAAGCGTTCAATGATGTGCTCCTTCTTGGGCAGCGACACCACAAAACAACCATCGTCGTCACACACAGATCCGCGTCCTCGGCGTACTGATCGACTGAATGCTCTCCTTCGACCAGCATATCCAACAGGACAAAAAAAAACTGTCGCAGTAGACTCAATCTCGTTAAAACGATCTCTTGGCCTCATCGATCCAACAACCGCGATATTCGGTTCCGGGTGGCGCGAGCCATCATCGACAGTAGGTTGCTTTACGGGACGGAAATTACTTGTATCGCCTCCGAGAAGCTGGTTAGAACCCTAGCACCGGTCTACAACAGTCACATCCGCATCATATCTGGTCTCCTGCCATCCACTTCAGCAGACGCCGCATGCATCGAAGCGGGTCTTCTTCCTTTCCGGTTCTGCTTAAACGCAAATATTGCCACAAAAGCTGCCACCTTCTCCGCCAAGACTTCCGGAAACAATAGGATCTTTCTCATCGACGAGGGGAACAGAGTCCTCCGCACGGCCGCCGGCATCGTGGCCAAAGTCCATTGGCATGGAGAGAAAAGTTGGCACTCTTCACGAATCCAATTGGACAACCGGATCAAGAACCGCTTCAAAGCAGGGGATGCATCCGTGATTCTGCACAGATCGGTCGTCGAGTTACTTGGGTCTAACTAACGATTGCATTAAAAAAAAATGGACAAAAATTGTCGATTTTTCATGAGTTTACCTTCACCCGCACTGACGAAACTACCCATGCAGCATCAATCATAGTAACCCATGAGTCAGCAAAAAAAATTGACAGCTCTATCAGTCAAATTCTAACCGTGATGGCAAAAACAGTGAAGCAACTCCGTTCAGAACGGCATCCCGCCGCCTCGAAAACGGACATCGTGCGGAACTTTGTGGACGCCGGGTACGCCCGTTCCGGCATCTACAACATCTTGGCACTATTAGACAACAATCAGAGCATCGAAAGAAAGTCCGGTTCCGGACGGCCGACGACCCTGAGCGACAAGAAGCTCCAAAGGATGTTGAAGAGGAAGACCGAGGGAAAAGTGGCTACATCGCTGCGTGCGCTTGCAACCGGCCAAACAGTGAAAAAGTACCTGGCGAACATGAACATACATGTCAGGAAGCGGAAGTCATGTTCACTGGTTTCGGAGCTGCAGGCAATGACGAAGCGGCAGCGGCTGAATTAGATGGTCAACTCGTTTTTCACGGCGAATCGCGACGTGGCGGTGGTGATGGACGACGAGACCTATCTCACCCTGGATGGCAACGACTGGCAGGGCACTTCGTATTTTACTTCCCCCACGTAGGAACGGAGCTCCTAGGTGAAGTTCATTTCACACACCAAGTTCCCCAAGAAGGTGCTGCTGTGGCTGACAATCAGCGAGAAGGGGATGTCAAACCCGCTCTTTTTTCGCTCCTGACTGGCCGTGAACGGGGAAATTTATAGTACGAAATGCCTGCCGGAAGTTGCGTCGTTCATCAAGAAATACCATAAGGGCGAAGACGCGGTGTTCTGGCCGGATCTGGCATCGGCCCACTACTCGAATCGATCATTGGAGGAGATGGAGCGGCTGAATATCGATGTGGTACCCAAGTCGGCGAACCCGCCCAACGTCCCCCAGCTGCGTCCCATCGAAAATTTCTGGGCCAATCTGAAGCGTAAGATCTATTCCAACAATTTTGTCGCGAAAACTGAGGAGGAATTGATAAATAAAACGAAGAAAGAACTCAAAAACATGCCTACACGCCAGAAGGCCGCTCGCAAGGGCGTAGAATTTTTGGCAAGTACCGGTACACCGACGGCTCCCGATCGATAAACGGAGTAGGTATCGGGATTTTCGGAGACGGTACTGCTGCTCCACAGTGCTTGGATTTATCGGCCGAGGCTGCAGCGATTTTTCGTGCCGCTACGATCACCTCAGAAGCACCAAAACACTCATGGATCCAGGCGATTATCAAGTACGCCCCACCGAACACCCCGTGTACGCATGGATTCCCGGACACTGCGGAGTGCCAGGTAACGAGTCTGCTGATCACCTTGCCGAAGCCGGGCCATCGGGTCCCATACTCACCGACAAGGTTCCCCTACAGGACGTCAAACGGTGGATCATGCGGACCATTCGAGCGGAATGGGAGGTGGTTTCGCAACAAAACTGCCTTCATCCGCTAAGTCAAAGGGTCAACTGAAGTATGGAGCGAACAGGATTTCACGGCCTCGGACCGGGCACACCAAACTCTACAATAACTATGGTGAACTGCCGTTCCGCAGAAGCTGCATCATCCGCGGGGTACCCTACACCATCGAACACATCCTGTGCAACTGCCCGGAGATTCAAAATATTCAGGAGTCGCTCTGCCTAACTTCCAGCATCAGGGATCTGCTCACGAATGATATTCAGGCCTCGGCAGCAGTAGTAACCTTCTTAAAAGAAACCAACATCTACCACTTTAGATTACAGGAATTTCTTTCGGCCGTCGGGACATCACAGCTGGATGGATTTCCCCTATTGGACCCACTCCAGCTGAGCTCTGTTTTAAATCATTTGGTTTTCTGTTGTTCCTCTGTTTCACTATTGTATATATTTTTACTTTTTCCATATAAGCTGAAGAGCTAGAATCCAAAGTTATTTACAAAATGTAAATATACCATGTATTTTGAGGTTACTCACTCTGGGACCTCTCCTTTCTCCGGAGATGAACTAGCCATAGGCTAAAAATCTCCTTAATAAAGAATTTAAAAAAAACTACAAGGAACAGCCCTATGGGGTTGTACCTTGTACGCAATGGTGACGTAGGACTACGTGGTCTTATATAATAAGCTTTTTTTGTGCAGGAATAGGAATTTGTGTGGGGTTCTCTCTGTTTATACTCTAGTATGAAGGCTCACAGCGACTCACGAATAGCTACTGACTCCGATCAATAGCGGTGCGGCTTCTTCCTCCTTCTCTGGATGCTCAGGTGGGCTTGGAGGCAGCCATTCGTTGGGTACTGAAGAACAATGTTCAACACCACGCGCCGAAAGCACTGCTGCTGCTGCTACTGATGCCGGACACCACCACACACGGTAAATGGAACTGAATCCGATCAGCGGTTGAGGGCAGCCTTGATAGCTAGCTGCTTTCGGGGAGCCTTTCTTTGTGTACTGGAGAACACTACCACTCACCTCGCGGTGATTTAGTGAGACCGGATGGAATTCAACTTTGAAATCTGTGATAGGGAAGTCGCTTTTCGGAGGAAATCGGCGACAATTTTAATTATCATCGCAACAGTTGCACATTCTTGCAAATTTTCAATAGAGAAATTTTGAAAAAATGATAAAGTCTTAAGTTAACAGGTGCGTAGAAATATTTCTGATCGATTGGTGACAAAA